AGGAATGCGTGTTTCCAAAACAAATCATGAAATCAATATTTACAAGCTTTTCGAGCTTTTAAAATTCGTTGCTTTCCTAATGGTGGTAGGGAAAAGGGGCAATTTAACTGTCAGATTTACCGCACCCCAATTGAAATTTGGTAAGGTCACGTGAAGTTACTGAAACCCCTCTTCTTTAATAATGACTCACCGATCACCTTTTTGATATTTAAATTGTCTTGATTGTAACAAAATAAAACCTTGGAAGCAACAAACTAGGTAGGTACCTACCTACTATAGGTACTATAGCTACTTACCTATTAAGGATTTTACTAGATAAATCCAATTTGATGCTCAAACAACCAAACTAATAGTTACCTACTGCATAGCTAGCCTTGTCTTTTGGTACCACCCGTCGCTTCAGCGCATGTCTTAGGTGTTAAGAACTGTTTAATCAAGGGAAACCTTGAAGCATCAGTACCTCAGCATTGTAAACATTTAATAACTTGAAACACAATTACGCAATAAAAAGTTCATGGCTAAAAGCTCGAGCTATCAATGTAGCTGCGTTAGGTGTGGTTATTATTAGTACCCTACCTAACATGTTTTAAATTAGGTAATATGAACTTTTTTCTATCAATATCACTTGTATGTGTATCCCATAGGTAATTAGGTAGGTAACCATACGGTTAGGGATAGACGTAGGAATATTACTAAATTAAATGCCCCTAAATTAAACCCCAAATTATTGCAGTGTCTCCCGAATGAGCGAATCTCAGTTTTTATCTTTTATCTTCTATGATGTTATTGAGGTCATGTCATTTATTACTTACATATGTCTAGGTAAACTTTTCTACGCCTAGATCTAATTAACTACCTACGTATTTATTATATCCACCCCTCAAGTGGAGGCAGGCATTTTTAGTGAGAAGATCGATATTGTGAATTTTAATTTTAATATTGTGACGCCAGGAAAAAATCTATATCTACAAAATCTCATGATTAAATACTGCGCTTTATGTTCCTACTTATAACTTAACTACTAGACCATCGGTCACCTAAAACATGACATCACCTTCGAGTAAACATAGCTCCATCATGAAGTGCGACTCATTAGATTCACAAGTCACGTTTGCAGATGAACGTAGCGCAATGAGTTGCCTTCTTATTGTGCCATTTCTGAACGAAGCATAATTATGTAATGGACGTTACGAACGATATCGACAGTTAATCTTACAGTCCTATTTTTATTTGAACCTATGACATGGAATAGTCAAGTTTCTAAAACGTGTTTCCAAAATTTTCCAACATATTTTCTGATGTGTTTTAGTTAGTCACGCGAGGGAAGGCCCTTAGAGTCCATAGAACACCGATTCTATATTTATTTACCTACTTATGTATGGAGGGGGAAAGTTAAATAATGTTGGATTGTAAGTATACCTACTTATAATATATTTTTACATGTAAGAATGAGTCATTGCTGCAGGGAATGCTATGGGGATGACGTCAACCTCGGTCACTAGGACACATTACTATTTTGTTTGGGAAGGTACTTCCAAATTACGTCATTAATTGTTACGTCCGGTTATGTTAATGTTCCTTATTTCGTTTTATTATTGTAAATGTATGAGTAAAAATAACAATGACGATTCTCTCACGTCGGCCGTGAAAGAATAACATTAAAAATTGATACTTATGTATCTACCTACTTATTACTTTTTATCCTGACCTTGATTAGATAAGATCATATAATACAAGTGTAGATATTTTATCAAGGAGTAATCAAATGATTACGGTAGAATTTCCGAGATAATTGCATGCAGTTGCAATTTTAAATGCCACTACTCTATTTAGTGCATGAATATGACGGTGAAGCGGTACTATGAGCTTAGTGTAAACAGACCGGCGCACATGAAGCTGAGAGCTACGTCCGGAATTGTATAAAATATAGGTCGGAGAGGTGCCACCATGCCGTTGAACTCCATTGTATGTATGGGTGGTATACCTATCTATAACGGAGATGCGCGTGCTCTACGTTTCAAAGTACCTAGGTAGGTACCTAATTATGCAATATTCCTTTAGAACCGCAGGTAGGTATCTGCAGAGAAAATAATTAGGCATTATTATTCAAATAGTTTGCTTTGCAAATATTCGTCATTAGTTAAATTTGTCGCCATAATATTAAAATATTACTTTCAAAAATAGACAACTCTTGTCCTTGTTAGGTGTAAGTAGGTACAAATGCGCACTGCGACTTTTCAACATTTCAACAAAGGTATTCTATTCGACAATACAATATAACTTATGCCAGGCAAGGGCATTATTTTACGTCTATATATAGTTAGACTATTTTCTGAACCCTAGAAGCATTAAAGTTGTTTAACTGGTAATATTATTGTATGTAGGCAATAATTAGATATCCAAACATGATGATGGTTTAGCATGTTTTGGTTGGTCACACACAAGAAAGAAATCTTTACCTGTACCTAGCTTGCCTATCTGTTCACCATCAAACGTCACGCCATTAATTCATCATCACGGTATTAATTACGATTGATTCTCATAGGTCACAGGATCTACCTTTATTCATAGTAATTGATTCATCAACTCCTGGAACGAACATGCAATATTTTATGATGAACCTTGATCTCTACTATTTGTAGGTCAGATCATTTAGTCTAGATATAATATGCGAGGGCACCCACAGCGACAAATCAGCGGAGGTGTAATAGCATATTGTTCCTCTTGAGCCCCCACAAGCTTGTCAAGCTTTGATTAATACATTTATGTTTATATCCACATTGTCTTCAGGATTAGACTGGACATCAAGGCCAAAGTCCCAAATCGAGCATTAAGTCATTTCCTTATTTGAATAAAACGGCTAGGTACCTAATATACTTTTATTTGTATTACCTACCGTCCTGAAGAGACGTAGGAGGCAACCAGTTTATTGAAGCACTTACATGCCTAATGCAAGTTTGGAATCTCAGCTGATGTTTACAGCAAGTTGCCGGCAAATCGTTTCGTCGACAAGGTCAGTGATGTAATTGCCGCATTTAGCACTCGAACGTGTGCCACTACGAGTCGCGTTATCCTACGATATGCTGCGATAGGAGACAGCTGTACGTTTCATGTTTTTATATGACATCATCCCCCATTTGTCCTCAACTGGTATAAGTTTTGATTAGGCAACGATTAATATTCATGTAATGCTTAGTTTATTTTTAATAGCGTAGGCAACAAAAAGACACAATGAAAATACATTTTTTTTGTTTACGTAGGTAATGTCCTACGTAGGTAATTTGTATGCGGACGACTTGCAGCTGTACCGTCAATATGGGGTAGACGATCTGCCCAGTGCTATCAGTAAACTTAAATAGTGATCTAACAGCTGTTCAAAATTGGTCGGAGAGGTTTGGCATAGCTGTAAACCCAAACAAGTGCCAGGCCATCATCATAGGTAGCTCTCGGAATCTTGGATCGATTGACGGTGCAGCACTGCCCCCTATCTCGTATAATGGTGTGACTGTCCCGTTTAGTCGGGACGTGAAGGATCTGGGCCTGATTATTGATAGCACATTGAGCTGGCGTGCTCAGGTCGCAAGTGTTTGCCAAAGGGTGACTGGATCGTTGCGGACTCTGTATCGTCTGAGGAACTTTCTTCCGTCCTCTGTGAAGACGCAGCTTGTGCAGACCTTGATTTTCCCGATTATTGATTACGCTGATGTCTGTTATTAGGTACGACCTGAATGCAGATCTACTCAACAAGTTAGACCGACTTCTAAATAACTGCATTCGATTCGTTTTCAACTTACGTAAATATGATCATATTTCTGCACATAGGATGCAACTGAAGTGGCTGCCCATACGCTTGCGCAGGCAGCAGAGGGCACTAACTACTTTATTCTCTTAACTTGACTCTCCTTCTTCACCTACTTACCTTGCTTCTTACTTCCAATATACGTGCGCAAACCACACAAAATTTCTTCGTTCGTCTCAAAACCGACATCTTCAATATATCTCTCATCGCACTGACTTCTTTCATTCTTCCTTTTTCATTCAAGCTGTTATTCTGTGTTGCCCAAGGAGATCAGAATGGCAACAAGTCGCAATACCTTTAAATTTAAAGTCCGTGAGCATCTACTTAAGCATTGGCAGACTCAAAACAATTGAGGAAACTATTCTGACAACGTTTTCTTTTTTTATATAATATATTGTAGTATTTATGCAGTATAAGTATTTGTTTAAACTGTCAAACACCAAGCGGTCACCGGTGACCGCGACCTATTGTTCTTTAATTGTGTCTATAAAACCGGTACTCGACGAGTTAATAGTATATATTATATGGTATGTAAGTATATGTCTATTTATAAAATATTGTATTAATATATTTATTCTATAGGTATTTATGTGTGTAGTATACATATTACATAACTTTTTTTTTATTGTGTTCTGGCTTCGCATCAACCACTTCATTTCTCTGCACTTCCCTATGGTTGACTGTAAGAGAATGCCACAAGGCATTAACTAAGTCCGCCATTCACTGTATTTTGTGAAGAAAAAAATAAAATAAATAAAAGTAATGTAGTTCTAAGTAGCTACCTAATTACGAGATCTATACTCATATCCACTGATATTTTTAGTCTTAATTGGTTCCGGGATACTGGGGTGGTTTTTAGTCAGTAAGTCTGATAGTAATTTTTACCCTTACGAGGCGAGCTAGGGGGCTCCAAGAGGATTTTCCACTTTGGGGCCAAAAAAGGTGCATAATTTTGACAGATTGCCATGAAACAACAACCAATATTCTCAATCCATAGGTATAGCAACATACCGAATTTAATAGTGAAATAAATGTTTTTAAATATTTATTGAAGCATAAATAAAATTAGTTACGTCGTTACAGGAAATGCGTCGTTACAGGAAATGCAGGAAGGCGAGCAAACCGTCAGCCATCACCGTGGCCTACCCTATCATAACAATAGTTCAAAATTATTGTTTGTGATTTCAGTAAATAATCAAAGATGTCTGAAGGCGCGAGTGCAGACGCTGCGGTCGAACAGGTGACACAGGAAGTGAAGGACGTCAAGCTGGAGAACGGGTCCGCTCCTGGTGCAGTCAATGGAACGGGCAACAAAGCTGAAGGGGCCATCTCTCTAAAGGTATACCTTATCAAAGAAAAATATATCCGAACAAATGGGTACCTACCTAAGTAGGATTATTTTTAATACTTGTGGTTTTCTCTTTTCTTATTAATCAGAATATTACTTTCTCAGGATGCGTTCAAAGCTTTTTCTAAATTTGGGGATCCAAAATCGGATGGTAAAACGATAACATTGTCACAAAGCGACAAATGGATGAAGCAAGCAAAGGTAATTGATGGAAAGAAAATCACTACGACAGATACCGCGATTCATTTCAAAAAACTAAAGACTCTGAAGCTTGGCATTGATGACTACCAGAAATTCCTGGAAGATTTGGCTAAAAGTAAAAAGGTGGAGTTAGAAGAGATCAAGAAGAAGCTCACGAGCTGTGGGCAGCCGGGCGTCTCATCACACGTGAGTACCTACTGTTGGAGCAAAAACTCTTTTGCGTCACCTCATTTATGAAGATTATTATTTTAATTTTTTATGTTCCAAATTTGATATTTTTTTTCTGTATCTTTTGTTTTTTCTTCATATTGAATACATGCGTTCTATCAGTCAACAAATCTTAATTTTATTCTTCTATTATAACATCTTATCTAAAAGTAATTGAAATTATTATTATTACCCTGGACTCTCAAACATTTGGTCCTTCTTGCCGGATATCTCAACATCTTACTATATAACTGGCGAACATTATTGAAGAGTTCCCAAGGAAATAGTTTCAAGAACTGAAGAATAATTTGTTGATGCTGACTACTTCAGGTTACCGCAATGCCAGACGATCAGAGTACACTACTCATCAAGAGAAGGGCGAGTTATAAAGGAAGAATAACGGTATTTACCAAATTTTTTAATTCATTACAACTTTCTTGTCTTAGTCCTTCTGACGTCGGCGAATTGCAGATTCGAGTGAATGCACTGGAATCATTATACGCTAAATATGACGAGGTTCAATTAGCACTGGAATGTAGTACAGATAATTTAGAACACCAGCTATTAGAACGTAGTGAGTTTGAGTCTCTTTATTATAAAACCCTAATCGAGGCTCAGAAAGTCCTCAATGATTATACAAAAGAAAATCATGCCGTCAGTGAGGTAAGTGATCATTCTCATAGTAATCATTCGCACAAATTCGTTAAAATTACCGACAATTCAATTGCCCAAATTTAATGGTTCGTATGTGAATTGGTTGGAATTCCATGATACTTTTGTAGTCTTATTCATTCTAATGAGGACATGAACAACATTAATAAATTTCATTATTTGAGATCGTCTCTTGAAGGTTCAGCTGCCGTGGTGATTAATTCCATTCAGTTTTCAGCTGCTAACTATATAGTAGCATGGAATTTACTTTGTGATCGGTTTGACAACAAACATTTATTAACACAACACCATATTTCAGTTATTTTAATATTGAATCTATTAACAAGGAATCTTCTATCAATTTAAAAGCGTTAATTGATCAAATTAATAAAAACTTACGTGCTTTAGAGTCTCTAGGTGAGCTATTGATCAATGGGATACTTACTATCATTTACATGATGACTCATAAGTTAGATAATAAAACTTATCGTGAATGGGAAGAGTATAAGGGTCGCTTAGACAAGGACTGTAAAATTAAATTTAATATGTTCATCACATTTATTAAAATCGCGCAGAATTAATTGAAACATTGGAAATGTCAAACTCATTATCTAATAAATATACACATCAAAATAGTGTAAAATCTAATAAAGTCAGAACAATGATGGTATATGATTTTAAATCAAAAAACAATACAAATAGTTCAAGTAATGATAGTGAGCATAAATCTAATAACTGTTGCGTCCATTGTGGTGGTGACCATAAGTTAAACAGTTGCTCTCAATTTCTTTCATTGAGTAATCAGTCACGATTGCAATTATTACCTAAGTTTAAAATTTGTTACAATTGTTTATGTGCAGGACATTATGCTAATACCTGCAAAAAGCCAGGTTGCAAAATATGTCGGCGAAAACATAACACTCTAGTGCATATTACTGATCACTTGGCAAAGTCTGATAATAATCCTGCAACATCAGGAAATAACACTAATTTTAACAGTCCGTCAACTCCGTTAGGTAGTACTAATGTATCATTGTCTGCGAGTGTAGAGTGCGATGTCGTGCTGTTATCTACGGTCCTAATAAAAGTATCAGGTAAGAATGGACAACAGCACATTATTCGAGCCGTGCTTGATAGTGGCAGCACATCGTGCCTCATGTCTGAGAGATTATACCGTAGACTTGAGTTACCTGCCAAGACTGTAAATAATTCAGTTTTAGGAGTTAATAATGCACTGTCTGAGATTAATAAAATGTGTCTAGTGTCAATTAAGTCTTTAGACGACAGTTTTGAATATAATATTAACTGTTTTATTTTGCCATCGATTACCAATGAGATACCGAGTAAACGTATAGATTTATCAAAGTTAAATATCCCGTCTAACATATCTCTCGCTGATCCTAAGTTCCATTTACCAGCACCAGTAGACATGTTATTAGGTGTTGATATCTTTTGGGATTTGTTAGGGTCCCAAAGAATTAAGTTAGGAGAGGGACAGCCTATTCTTTGCGAGACTAAGTTAGGATGGTTGGTCTCAGGTTCATTTAAAATTAGTAAAGCATCGCGCTTCGACACATCTAGACTGTTAAACTGTAATTTTGCCAAGATTGAGCAAGATAATAATAACGAATTAAATAATCGTATAGAGCATCAACTTACCAGGTTTTGGCAGTTAGAAGAAGTTAGTACGACATCAGTGTACTCTCAGGAAGAAAAGCTATGCGAAGAACACTTCATTAAAAATACTACACGTTTGGAGAACGGACAATTTTGTGTTCGAATTCCACTGAAGTGTTCTCCTGATTTGTTAGGTGAATCATTCTCAAGGGCCAAGCATTGCTTTGTTTCTTTAGAACGTCGACTAAAAAGCCAACCTTTACTGTCTAGTATGTATAAAGAATTTATGTCAGAGTATGAATCTTTGGAACATATGTCGAAATGTGAAAATATTAATATGTCTGCTCATTATATTCCTCATCATGGAGTTTTACGTGATAGTAGTCTTACTACTAAATTACGAGTGGTTTTTAATGCCAGTAGCACCACTACGTCAGGGATTTCTTTTAATGGTATACAAATGACTGGGCCAGTAGTGCAAGATGATATATTATCAATACTTTTGCGATTTAGGCAACATAAATATATTATTGCTGCCGACGTCGAGAAAATGTATCGGCAGTTGGTTGTTCATCCACATGATCGATACCTTCAACATATCGTCTGGCGTGATAACCCGTTAAATCCGTTGCAAACGTATCAATTAAACACCGTGACCTACGGCACGGCCAGCGCTCCCTTCCTTGCAACAAGGTGCCTAAAACAATTAGGATTAGAATGCGCTGATAAAAAAACTGCTGCGGTTATTATTCATGATTTTTACGTAGACGATTTACTAACAGGAGGAGATGATTTAGATGAAGTTAAAAATTTGCGTCGAAAGGTGACTTCTATTCTTGCTTCAGCTAGAATGAACCTTAGAAAATGGAAGTCAAATGACATACGTTTAATGAACGATTCAGACTTTCCTCAATCTTCACTAGACCTGAATATTGGCGGACTTGAGTCGGGAAAAACCTTAGGTATAGGATGGCAATCACAATCTGATAAGATTTATTTTTCCATTAATGAACCCATTACTAGTAAAAATACAAAGCGTGATATGCTTTCGATAATATCGCAAGTGTTTGATCCGTTAGGTCTTTTATCTCCATGTATTATAGTGGTGAAGATTTTACTTCAAAATTATGGTTATATAAACTGTCGTGGGATGAACAACTATCGCCTGACATCAGTAAGATTTGGAATGAATTAATAATTAATTTACCAACGTTAAATAACATATTAGTTCCGCGACGTGTTTTAATCGATTCATTTCAATCTCTAGAATTTCACATCTTTACTGATGCTTCTGAACGAGCATATGGAGCATGTTTATATGTACGTAGTATCAACCATGAAAATCAGGTTTTGATACGTTTATTAATAGCTAAAAGTCGTGTTGCCCCTTTGAAACCAACTACTATTCCAAACTTGAGCTTTGTGGTGCTCTAGTTGGGGTTAGAATTTATGAAAAAGTAGTTGCTTGTTTACGACTACCTGTGACACCACGTACATTTTTTTGGACAGACTCCACTATCGTTCTTGGATGGTTAAAAATGTTGCCAATTAAACTGCAACCTTTTGTTCGCAACCGTGTAGCCGAAATATTAGAAAAGACTCCTAGTTCTGAGTGGAGACACATTCCTACTCATTTAAACCCTGCTGATTATGTTTCTCGAGGAGTAGATATTAAATCATTGCCTTCTTTGGAGGAATGGTGGTCCGGTCCAGGTTTCTTAAAAAATGACATGTCATGCTGGCCTTCTGAATTTACATATTGTCCTGATGATAAATTGCCAGAAGTTAAGCCTGATGTTATCTTACATGGTATAATTAAGGAGAATGTGTGTGACGAATTTATAAATTTTACACGTTTTTCAAATTATTCGAGACTTCAACGCACAGTAGCTTATGTTTTACGGTTCATTGCTGCTTGTAAAAAGCAATCTGTATATGGTCCATTTACTAAAGATGAACTTAATAAGTCTTTAAATGTAATTATTAGAACCTCTCAAAATGAGTCCTTTAGTGAATATGATACCTTGCTTCATAATAAACAATTGCCAAAGAAAAGTGCATTGTTAAAATTTAATATATATTTAGATGAAGAAAAGGTAATGCGTATTAACGGTAGATTACAAAACTCTGACTTATCATATGCTAAGAGATGCCCAATTCTTTTAAAATCTAATCATCCTTTCACGAAATTGTTATTTGAATATGAACATAAAAGGTTATTTCACGCGGACCTCAGTTACTGTTAGCATCCATAAGGGATACATATTGGCCAATAAGGGTCGTAACTTAGCTAAGTCATGTTACAATAAATGTGTGCGTTGTAGACGTTTAAAGGTCAAACTGTAACACCGATCATGGGCAATCTGCCACGGCAGCGACTTCAAGCTGGAGGCTATCCATTTGAAAATATTGGTTTAGATTACGCCGGTCCTATACAATGTGTTGTTCGACAGGGTCGCGGTAGTAAGTTAGTCAAAGTATACATAGCAGTTTTTGTTTGTTTTGCGACCAAAGCAATACATCTTGAACTTGTCGGTGATCTAACGAGCAATACTTTTATTATGGCATTAAAGAGATTCATCTCACGTAGAGGTAAGCCAATTAACATTTATTCTGATAATGGCACTTCGTTTGTTGGAGCTTATAATGATTTATCTAAATTTTTAAAATCTAATTGTGATTCGCTGAGTGAGGAAATGGCTAAGGAAGGAATTAATTTTCACTTCATACCGGCATACTCTCCTCATTTCGCTGGCCTTGCGGAAGCTGGGGTTAAGTCTACTAAGCATCACTTAGTCAGAGTATTGGGCCTCTGTAATTTAACTTACGAAGAACTTTATACTACGTTGGTCCAAATAGAAGCAATTTTGAACTCAAGACCTCTGACACCGCTATCATCGGACCCTGAGGACTTGAATCCATTAACACCTGGACATTTTTTAATTGGACGTCCTCTAACATCCATGCCGACGCCTGATTTCCGTAATTACTCCACCAGTTCATTATCACGATTCCATAGAGTAGAACAACTCCGACAACATTTTTGGAGTAGATGGAGTAAGGAATACATTTCAGAACTACAACTCAGAACAAAATGGCGTACATGTAAAGGTCAGATAAAATTGAACTCAATTGTACTTCTTAAAGAAGACAACATGCCGCCTCTGAAGTGGAAATTGGGTCGGATCATAGCGACTTATCCAGGAACAGATGGGATAATACGAATAGCGGACGTCAATACTTCGAGTGGAATTGTTCGCAGATGTTTCAGCAAGATTTGCCCATTACCCATCTACTCTGCAGATGACCAAGATCTGTCTGGTTGAAAGACAGGCTTTCAACGCCCGGGGGTATGTTGGAGCAAAAACTCTTTTGCGTCACCTCATTTATGAAGATTATTATTTTAATTTTTTATGTTCCAAATTTGATATTTTTTTTCTGTATCTTTTGTTTTTTCTTCATATTGAATACATGCGTTCTATCAGTCAACAAATCTTAATTTTATTCTTCTATTATAACATCTTATCTAAAAGTAATTGAAATTATTATTATTACCCTGGACTCTCAAACACCTACTTACATTAAATACTCAATTATTATCTCATACTTGAAATACTTAAACTGACTAGGTACCTACCTATACCTACTCATTGTCATGATAATTTTAAAAACCTTGAATTTTATCAACGCAACGTAGTTAAGTAAACCTAGCGTCTGTGTAGACGTGCTGTTTAAGATTTCCATTTACTATACTAATTTTTCTTTACGTCACACGGAACAGACAATAAGAAACGATGTTTTGTATATTATATGTAGATATCTAATATAACATAACTAAGGAACTTTGTTTCAAAATATTAGACACTAACTATATTTTAAGGTATTTTTGTGAGGTATTTTACGACATATGTAGAGTCCTGTACTGTACTCCTGTACTCCTAGTCGACTAAAAATAATATACTTGCTGATTGATACAAAGGGAAATTGATGCATTAATTTCTATGGCGTCTTAAAGTGAAGTGAACATACTTTGTATTTTTCATCTGTAATCTCGAAATTCTAGGTGACCAAGTCTCCAGCGGCCGCAGCAGCAGTTGACCGGTTGACAGACACCAGCAAGTACACGGGCTCCCACAAGCAGAGGTTCGACGAGACTGGCAAAGGCAAGGGCATCGCTGGCAGGAAGGACCTGGTCGATGCCTCGGGCTACGTGTCTGGCTACCAGCACAAGGACACGTACAACAAGTCCCACTAGCCATCTTGCACACGGCATACAGTTAACGTTTAAATAAAACCTGGGAGCCTGAATTCTCAAATTCTTTTTACAGCAATTACTGACTATACTTTCTTTGGATCACTACTAAACACAATAGAGTATGAAACATGCATTACTCATTCAAGACTATAATTTCTTATTTACGAAAATGTATCAACTTTTAATATGGGACCAACTCCGAAAGCAAAAATTAAAATTAAACTCCATACACTTTGATCTATCAACATTCAGCTTCAATTTGTATGGACTGGATACATATTAATACGGAATTGGTTCAATAATTTAAGTTATATATCTTCATATTTTCAGTCTTTCTCAATAGGATATTACTGTGAAAACATTTATAATAATAGCCACGTTAATCCAATAATTAAAGCCGATCTCTTAAGAAAACCACATGGAAGCTTCTCTTTGCAATAATTACGATATTGTACATTTTTTAAGTACATGGTACTAGATTAATGCATTTAACAATGTAATGCTTTGTATGTTGTGCGAAAGACATTCCTTCCCTAGAAAGTAAACGTTTATTAGAGTAAGTGGGAGCGTTTTCTGACTATATTGTCTTATCTGTACGTCTAGTCGTGTGTAGAGTTACATTCTTTACAAAATATTAAAAGTTTCAATGTTTTTTAAAATTGAAATGGTCATTAAATGATAGTATTTTTTGTATCGAACCTCTTGTAATTCCTAAAACGAATAAGTACTAAAATGTATTGTAATAAATAGTACAAAACATCTACTATACAAATGTACAAAGTACGTATACCAACCTACGTGGCATTCTGATGTATGTAAAGGTTACGTTCAATATAAACGTTTCCTGTTATCGTAACTTTTTAAAAGAATATTAATGTGTCATATAACGTAAGCGCACGGTTATATATAAGTTCTTAGATTTGTATTGGTTCTCAATATTAGTATTGGTAAATACGCCTACTTTATTATACCTACCTACTGTAATTTATCAATTTTAAATTTATTTTGTTAACATTATTAATAAAATACATACATTATTCCGTAGTGGTTTCCTTTAGTTAATCCCGACCTGTGTCATTATGGTGTGTAGCATTATAAAGGAAGACCAAATGAGATGTCGATTGGTACAATTTATTTGACTTATAACTACAAATACATGTGTAAAGCACTAACATTTCATGAAATAATTAATAATCAATTATATATGGTATTAATATATGGTGGTACTATTAATTTTATTTACTGAAAAGCAAATAATCTAGGACTTAATTCACGTAATGTTCCATTATTATAGTCTATACAATATATTATTAATAACACAAACATTGACTGCTAGCCCACACTACCTTCCATATAATATACGTTTAAATAAAATATAACAAAACAAAGAATAGAATGCAAAAGTTTAAACAATAGGTACAGATACTTGTGCACGTCATATTACACGTTGTAAATGATTACCCAGACTTTCCTGTTCATCGCGTTGAATATTATAACGTTATTGTTTATTAATTTACCCAAAAATATAAACACGTTACCACACAAATATAACATTCAACACAAGCAATATACAAGAGCGTAGCTAACTTGTTATCTAATTTTTTTGCCCTTAAAATCACGAACTTGTTATACGAGTAATCTAAACAGTAGGTACAATAATTGTTGATTTATTCTGTACTGGTCAGTATTAACCACGCCTGATGAATCAATAAGAGATTGTAATTTTTTAATTTGGTTGTGTGGTAAATGTGGTTATATTATTGTAACATCTTAAAATAAGAACGTAGAATAGAATAGTCGCTGTAATCACTTACGCTACAATCTTTATTTAGGTACTTTCATTTCCATTTGAAGCACACATTATGTATAAACAAGAGGAGTGCTGTAGCAAATGTAAGGCTTATAATCCCGCCACTCATAAAATTCAGCACCAATTTTTGAAGATTGTTTATTTTTAATTAGTTTGCCTTTACTGACCCTTAATATGTTCGTGCTTCTTGTCTTTGGAATGAGATCGTAGAGATCCACGAACTACTCAGGTAGATTCAGGCTTGCGTCATCACAAAGGAATGACAGTAAGGAATAATGAATGAGTGACGACAATACTCGATATCTATTTAGTATTTAGAATTATTAATTTATATATTAATGAAGTCAGTCTACAATATTATAAGGTAGGCAACAGTATAATATTTATTCAGTTTATATGACACACTTATGATGTCGTACAAAGAGCCTTGAGTCACTAACGATCTTAAATCTTTTCCCATTTAAATGAGTACGTATGGAAATATCGTAAACGAGTTTCTTTGACTCATGACCTTTATTTTAGGTACATCACTTACTTCATTTAATTTTATACAAAGACAATAATTTAGTGTAAAGTTAAAGAATATTTTTAACTTATTATTGTGACAAGTTAACTACAGACCAAGTCTTGAACTATGTTACATAAACAGTCAAGGCATTATCTGCAGTATTTCAGCTATATTGTGATTGATTATTTACCTATTAGAACATGTAAATACTGAAATATTTCTAAAGTATACTATAAGTCGAATGTTTTCGAAATACAATATTTACAATTTGCTACATGTATGCGTATTATAAGCTGAAAATTGCGATCATATCAATTATAAAGAATCTGCAAAATAATAAACCTAGAAGGCGAAATATTATCACCCTGTATAAATAATACCCTTTTTAAATTTTGAACATAAACTAAATAAAAATTAGAATAATCTCATGACTGTGGATATAAACAATGATTGCCATATACTGAAGAGCAATTGTCAAAAGAACTGTTCATACCTGACAGGTCTGAAACTATGAACTTTGAGATTCCGTAGCAAATATTAAGGTTTATTTATTCCAGCAATATTACCCAAGTATTTGGGAAGTGATGACGAAGAGTTGACATAGAATCCCAGATACCACACTGTTTGTCAAATATGTCCCTGATAAGATAAATTATATATATATATACAAAGACATTGTCCACTGTTACAAGAATAGAGCATAACCTACCTATACTTTATTCGATTTCATTATACAATTTTCAAGATTATTTTAGGTACATTAAACATAATATCAACATCAGCAAATCATCAATTAGAACAAACTCTGCTCTACATTGAGATGTTTTAAATATACTTGGCAAACCAAGCTCTTATAACAATGCTATATGGAATTGAGAATTTTCTATATAATATACTTTCGAGTCATACAAATTTTATCACAAAATAAAGTGACTTGACGACTTACATAGGGCCTTCAATAGTACTCACTTTCATAGCAAAGTAGTAGACAGCTCGACTGCCCAGGATTAGAGCGAGGAGGAAGCCGCCAACATACGCCACATATATGCCACCTCCGTGGCTCTTAGCAGCAGAGAGCGTACCCAGCGTGACGCCTAGAGCGATAGCGAGAAACACCAGCGACAGCACTGCGAATATGGCTCCGCGCTTACGAGCCACGCGCGCGCCCACCGACGACACCTTACGGCAGTGAGGACATCGCACAGGAGCGTCTTTCAGCAGTTGATACTGGAAAAACAAGATCCAACAATTCAATAAACATTTATTAAAACTTTATCTTAAGTCAATGACCTGTGTTGCACTCAAAGTAAAAAGACCTTTATGTCTAGTTAATAATATATGTCATGCAGATAACATATTATCAAACCAGGAACATGACAAATCTATAATGAGTATCAAACAGCTTATATACTCATATATGTTTAAATATGTAAGTAAAGGTACCACAGAAACTCTTTTTGGTAACATGTTAAGGATGTCGGTTTTATATTTCTAAACCAATTTTGTGATGCCATATGAGTGCTAAGGACATTAAGTTCCTGCCACATGTGGTTAAAAATGGATCAATTACTGAATTAATTAGTTTATATTCAGTCAAGTGGATATTTGAGTTACCTACTATATTATTTTGATAAAAATTTCAAAATTATGCCATGTATAAAAAAAAATAAGTCTAGATATTATTCTAACAAATTAAACAAAGGTATCTTGTATTGTAAACAAAAATAAATGAAAGATAATCAATTTTATGATGTTTACAAACAAGATCATACTTTAAATATTTGAATATGGACTCATTACTTATTTACTTGTACAATAACAAAAGCTGTTTATCGACTAATGAGAATAAAATGAAACTTTCAACTGTGTCTTGTAAACAGATAAGCTGATGATGATACTGTTTAGAATGCAGCATATTATTCACTCACTATTATTTCTCCCTTCAAATAAATTTGTTTAACGAATTAAGGGTGATGGACTATTCTAGGCATTGATGTGAGGAAGACTAAGATTAATCTGTCAAACACCAAGCGGTCACCGGTGACCGCGACCTATTGTTCTTTAATTGTGTCTATAAAACCGGTACTCGACGAGTTAAATACATTATTAGTATTTTATATCTAAAACACCTTCTTTTTTTTGAATAATATTGCAACTGTTTTTGTAGGGTAGTCTGAAATATGTTTATTGTTAACCTTATCGATAGTCTTGATTGAAGGTCAAATTTTCCTATTTGATTCTAGTTAGAACATTACAATTGTAACCAACAATAGCCGTAACATAATATTTATATTATTTACTATCTAGTAACATAACAACAAGCAAGGTCTGATAGAGGTTACATGCATTTGATGCATTATGTGTAATCCTTGCAAAACTGTTACAAGGAGTTCAAATAATTTTCTTGTCACCATTATAATAAATAAGTAATTACTCAAAATATTTACCAGAAACGTGTCTTGACAGTGAGCACAGATAACCCTGCACATTCCTGGCAAGGTAGCAACAGGAGGAGTTACAGGAGATGGTGCCAAGTTGATGATCCTCTTGCAGTCTGCACGAGGGCATGCAATGCGCTGTGACGATGACTTGCAAATTAACAAGCAGTTGCAAGGACAGCGCACATATTTCTTGCCTGGTGGAGCATTCCTAATAGGCTGAAAACCAAACAAATCATCATAGCAAAGTACCTACTACCAAGATAAAAGAACAGTATATTCTTTCTGTGTTATGAGTCAGTGAACTGATTAGCAACAAAAACATATTAAAGCTGATAAGGTAGAAAGTTGTTAAGATATGATCAATAATTTAAACTGATAATAAAAAAACTAAGTTTGGGGTAAAATACATCACTGGAAAGTAATAAAGTTCAGGTATATGTAAATTGTAACTACTATACATACCGTGGCTTCATTGCATTCTGAACATTTGACAACATGCTGTTCTCTCTTCCCTGATATGTCGATCATAGCCTGGCACACGCGACATGTTACCATCGGCATTCCCGCTTGCTGGTACGGCGGAGGAAGCTCGTCAGGTCCAATTGGAGATATTGTGCTGACATTTACCTCCTCTGTCATACAAAAACATTACATTTGCGTGTTGGAAACACGTAACCAATCATGTAATAACTGGAAATTCTGTTGCACAACACAAACATTTCGATGGACTGCGTAGCGGCTGCTTGAACCATCTCATTTCATTGTTTAGCAACAAAAATCACAAAAGTAATAGTTGAATCATCAGCTGTCAAACAATAAAAGCAATTAAATACTTACCATCTCTAAGTAATGGTTTAGTTTCACTTTGTCCATCCCCCATTATATAAAAATTATGTTTTTTATAATGTAGTATGCAAATTTCTAATAATTAAATCACAATTTTTGACGAAATTATGTACTCGCACTGCAATCTACGAAACTTGATTTTACTTTTTTTTTTCATTTCTCCGAACTTGGATACATGGATTTCAAGTAAGAACATATGTCATTGATACTATAATACACATTCACAGATGTTGACTATTTTATTGTGTCATATTTTAGGCGTTATTGTTATCAAAATGATGTAAAAGCCCAAAACGAGTGATAGTTTTGTTTCAAAGTAGACTTTAGGGGTATAAAAGTGCTCACTTAGATTAAATAATGCTTCTACCTTCGGTACAAGACTTTTTTATTGCTGTAGGCTGTAAAATGTTACTCGAACAAATCTTTGTCCTTGTTATTTATAAAATTCGATATGTATTGGGATTCCTGGATTACCTGTATATTTTCAATGAATAAAAAGGTTACCAAAAAATTATTGTCATATAGTGTTTCACTGCCCTTATTCTGTGAGTCAACTTTGTTTTGAAAGAAAAATTAATATTCTAATAGTCAACACGATGGTCAACACCCTATTTTTCATCTAAGTCAACACCATGCTACACGCCATGTCGTCTTTTCTGCCAGCTTTTGACATAGGATCAAGGATGTCAAATCAATGTTGTTGTTCGCGAGTTGTCATTGTTATCATCAGCAGCGTGAAAACTGACGTTTCGCTTGCATTTAGAGGTTATGTGTACTGTCAGTATATTATTGCTTGCATGTGATTTAGAGATTTTAGCAGTTAATTAATTATATATTTATTGTAATGGCGTGCAAAGTACACAGAGTTCGCTATTATAATCCAAAACCACAACCTATTAACTGTGTTTCATTTAACAAAACAAGTAAACAGATTGCCGTAGCGAGGTAGGTTTCACAAAAAAATTGGATTTATTGAATTTTTGATTAAATTTTATTAAAATTTTATTGTCGTTGCAGAGGCGATGCTTCCATTGAGATATGGGACTTGAATTATGCTCCGTATCTTGTCAAATTCATTCCTGGCGTGGAAAATGGTTCAGTAGAGGCACTCGGCTGGGTAAAGGATAGGTTACTTTCAACCGGGCTTGGAGGAGCTTTGATAGAATGGGATTTACAAAAATTGTGCTTGAAGACAACGGTCTTACTCACTGGTTATGCAGCATGGTGTCTGGATGTGAATCCTGATAATACATTGGTAGCCGTTGGAACTGAACAAGGATATGTGAACCTCTATGATGTGGACAATGATGAAATAATATACAGAAAATTGTTTGATAAACAAGAAGGGAGAATACTTTGTTGTAAATTTAACAATACAGGGAATGTATTGGTAACAGGTAAATTATTTATTTGCATTTCTTGTTAAGCTATAATCTTGCTTTCAAATATTAACCACCACCCTACCTATTTTATTAAGTAGCATAATTATAATATATTATTTAAATTATGTTATATAATTTGTTGAATTGATAATATAATAGATATCAGGTTAATAATAATTACCACCTATTTTACTAAACCTAGACTACTAAAGAAAAAATTACTTACTATTTATTTCTAGGTTCAATAAACACAATAAGAGTGTGGAATGTGGATACTGGTCATGCAATAACCCGCATGTCTGTGAGTCGCAGAGGTAGGGAAGTCATAGTATGGTGTCTAGATATACTATCTGATAACACCATAGTGTCTGGAGACAGTTTGGGTAGACTTATATTTTGGGATGGCACTCTTGGAGATCAGGTATGAATTGATATTAGTTACCTTCGATCAACAATAACAACTAGATATCGGGTCGGCGCATGAAAATCGTCTCGACAAATAAGAGCTCACTTGAAAAGTGAGCTCTTATTTTGTTTAGTATGCTCCAAACATGGCCAACGTAATCACGTCTCACGATGTTGCAGTGCGTAATTGCAAGTTGCAAAAATAATAACCGAAAAAGCAGTATAACGGCCGGAGTGTCTTACTTTCGATAAGTAAATAAATTATAAGTTATATTTTAAGCTTTTAAATTAGTAAATAATATCAAATTAGACAAAATTACCAATTATAAACCAACGCCACCAATGTTTGTGCGTGTGTTGGCGATCCCTTGGCCAAGCCTCGCCAACACGCGCACAAACATTTGTTTAAACAGAACAGTGGATGCAATGGAGTCGATTTGTATTTTAAAACAAATTTATATTGTAACCTGATTGGAAAAGAGTACTTAACCTATGGAATTTCTTGCTCGTTCTTCTCCATAGGAATCTATACCTTAAAATGAGCAAATAGCTTCACTTTTAAATTTATATTGTTGACGTTCAAAAGTGCCTTCCTGGTCTTACTGAAATAAATGATTTTGACTTAGACTTTTAATGACAAAGTTAATAAACATATGATACACAAAAACGTACCGCTAATAAAAATAAGTGATGTATACTAAGATCCCGAAAATAAAATTATTTTAGTGTTCAACACGACTCCATACATACCTCCTGTAGCGAAATTCAAAATTCGAAGAAGCAAAACGAAACAAAACAAAACGATATAGATCACAAGGCAATAACGGAAAAATTATCTTTATTTGTTCTAGCTTAAGGTTGAAATCAAACTAGATATTTTATAACTTATGTCTTTAAATTTCTACATGACAGGAGTAAGAAAATGCTTTTCTCGTCTTATGTGACGAATGGTCGTAAGTATTAGATAATATTTTGACGATTTATGACTTTATTATTAGGTGCCATGGTTGTTATTAGGTTGAACTTAAAACCATTTTAAAACATTTTTCTCAGTTTGTTATTTTTTTACTATTATTATTCACACGGACAGAACTGGAGCTTGATTTTGTACGTAACCCTTTATCTAGTTGCTATTGTTGATCGAAGTTAGTTACTATAAATAAAGTATAAAGTATTGTTGTCATCTAATATATAAAATTCTCGTGTCACAGTTTTCATTGCCATACTCCTCCGAAACGGCTTGACCGATTTTGATGAATTTTCGTGCTTATCCGGTATCTATGAGAATCGGCCAACATCTATTTTTCATACCCCTAAATGTTAGGGCTAGTCCAACCCTAATTTTTTTTCGAGATTACGCATACGAAGTCGCGGGCAGAAGCTAGTGTATTTATAAGACACCAAATGCCAAAGTATTTTAAATTATTGTATTTTTTTATAACATGTATTGAACTGAATACTATCCATAAAAGAAAAATATCATCATTTTCCTTAATAGAAGCTAGAACAATGATTTGTTTTCACTTTTCATTTTTCTGATAGCTATAATTTTGTATCTGACATTAAAAAAATACTTTGTTTTTGTAATTAGATTGAATCATACTCAACTCACAAAGCAGATATACTGTCAATAGCTGTGTCTGATGATGAGAAGAGTCTGTTCTGCAGCGGAGTGGACCCGGTCATAATGAATTTTATCAAAGTCAAAAAGAACACAGGCAAGTTGACTGAAGCTCACTGGGTGAAGAATGTACAGAGGAACATCCATGAACATGATGTCAGGTGAGAATACTGTGTCTCAATATTTATTGATACAAATCAAGTTAATATCTGAAATTATCTTAATACTCTCAGATATTAAGATACTCAAAGAGACAAGTCTCTATGATAGTAGGTACCTCTCTAAATAAGTAAATGACAATTTTTTCTAAATTACTAGAATGCAATTTAAAAAAAAGACATTCTATATTCGAGTATATTCTAAGTAGATTCTAATTGTGAGTTAGCTTTGATACCTACTATCATACCTACAGCCGCTCGCGTCACGTTTGTTCACGTTCAAAATTCTGCGAATTGCTACTCGTAATACAAATCCTTTACAATTAAACATTTTTTCACAATCTTTCATAGGTTAATTTAAAGCTAATTTAAAACCATGATAACTTTTTCCAGAGGACTCGTCATCCATGGCGAGAAATTAATATCAGTTGGTGTTGATGGGTATCTCACATTCTCCAGCTATCCTCCAAAGTGGGTGATGAGGTTACCACCCATGATACCTACACCGAGATCATCAATATGCATTCAGAAGAAATTATTACTTTTAAGGTAACTGCTTTTTCTATTACAGTCAACAAAAAATATTGAGTACATTTTCTAAATGGTCTTTTTTGTTTTGCAGGTACAGCAACCACTTAGAGGTGTGGAAACTAGGGTCATATGCAACAAATAACGATGGCAATGTATTAATAAGTAATGTCAACACTACACTAGACAACAGTCAAATAGAAAATAATGATTTAGAGCAGGATTCTACCATTGATGTCATAAGTAAAGCCAAGGCTGAAAATACACAGAAACAAACTTTAAAACTTACTGGAAAGCCCACGAAATTAGTGTGTGTACAAAGTAAAGGGAAGAAACAGATACAGTGCTGTGCCTTATCACCCAGTGGGGAACTAGTTGTATATTCAACAGCTACCAACATTAGAATGCTCAAATTGGATGCTGTAAGTATGCAAACTTATTTGTCTTACAATAACAATGTAACAATATGGACCATAACTTATGATATAATATTTCAGTCTTACTAATGTAACTACTCTTTCTAATTTATTATCTCTTTTACACAATTTGTAAAATTGTTAAATATTACATTACATTATTATTTACAGGAAGATGAAGAACAATCGAACATATCTTTGTCGAAATTGTTGATCAATGGTTTGCCTGAAGGTGGATGTGACTGCGTGGCGTTCACAGAAGACTCGAATACAATGGTGGTTCACATAGCAGGCGCACTGCATGTGTTACAAGTAGATCTAGACGCTGGGGCAAGACCTGTTCAGATTATTAATCTGGAAAAACGTGAGTGTTACGGTTGTGTATTTACGTATTTGTGTACCTACCTGAGTTACATGTAACTACGAAATTTTAAAAAGAGTCTCACACCTTAAATAAGACGTAAATAATGTCTACTGTAACCTTTTATAAGATCATAAATCGACTTAAGACTCAGCAGATCGGATACCTGCGTGAACGTGGACGTATCACTGAGATAATAAATAAAATATATGGGACAGGGCACTCCTTGCGTAACGTGTCAACATACCGGTCCATACAATAACTCAACGCTATGTGCACGTCTACAATAATTGCACGCACACACTAACTAACGCACATGCATCCTGTGTGCTCGAGCTTTTAACTTGTAACCCTGTATAGTACAGCTAGCAAAAATATTGAGTTCTGTAAAAAAATAAGTACCTCAATAAAGTTACCTGATTAAATTCTACTATAATTCTTATGTTTTTTGCAGATCTTCAAGCAAAGTCAATATTACACCTGTATGTTTCCAAGAAAAGTCCGAAGGGTGTCACATACTTAGTTGTAGCGGATACAGTGGGTTGTATCTCTGTTTGGACACAAAACGCGGAGAAATTTGAGTTCTATGTCAGTTTACCGCAGTATCATTGCTTGCCTTCAGCCCTTACAGTCGACAGTCAAAGAGAATACCTCATTGTGACTTATGTTGATCAAAAGGTAAGAATTAATTATTGCATTTGTGATCTGCTGAACTCTGCAGTAGATATTTACTTTTATCATTACATCACACTTGTGACACATTTATGACATATGGAGAAGATCCTCACGCTTAAACAGATTATAAAACTAATAATACAATATGTAATTCTCACAGATTGTAGAATACGAGTTGCAAGAGAAGCGGTTCACGTCATGGCCGGGTGCGGCGCTGCCTCCAGAATGGTACTCGCGCAAGTCAGTCGTGTCATCTATCAGTGTGCATCCAACGCGCAACTCTGTATTGTTCCAAGATGAAACGTCACTATGGGTTATGGATAGAAATGCACAGGTAATTTATTATTAATGTTGAAAAAAATCGTTTAAGATAGAAGAATTCGTGATAAATAATTATAATATGAGAAATGATGTTAGAGAAAAAATAAAGGATACTGCATAATTATGCAATTAAGCTTTTAGTTCAACATCTGAAAAGAATGAATTTATTTATCATGAAAGTTATTAAAAAAAAATATTAATAAGTATCTTTATATAATGGTGGAAATATAACATTAATTGTATTATTTGCAGGACGCAGTAGAACCAGTTGCTAAAAGAAAATCAAAACCTGGCAGCAAGAATGTTGGACTTAGAATCGTACCGATTAAGGTAAGAATATACCCTTAATTCAACCTATTGAGCGTGTTCGATTAAATTAATTTATTTAAACATTAAAGTTTTTTACTCGAAGAGACCTAAGTTTTACTGTTATGTAATAACTTTTTTAATGACTGTTATAAAATATCATACTTAGTAAGTACTGGAGTATCGTGAATGAAAGCCTTTAAGTACAAATTGGCACGCTAGCTATGATAACAGTACAGTACCTAAAGCTTTACGATTTCCCTCTATAAACATTCAGCTCATACATGGGAAATTATTGCGCTATGTCAGAAAATCTGTAACGACTATTCGAATTGAATGTTATTATATTTACGTAGGTATTAAATTTCAAATATGAACCTTATTTTTAGTGAATAAAGTTCATTATTCGTTAAAACTTATTGCATGGCGTATCAACTACCTGCTTTAACTTACTCTTTTTTTAGTACCTGGCGGGTTTCCACTGGCTAGACAAAGACGAGGCTGTCACATTGGAAGTGTTACCAGAAAATATAGTATCGCAACTGCCGCCTATCGCTGCTACCAAGAGACATGGACATATATAATTTAAGTAATAAATGACATATAAAATTGTGTATATTTGTATTTATTTGAAAATTGTTCACAAAGGTTCCACTTTTATCCTCCGCTTCATAGCGCTAGCATTGTTGGGGGATCTTTTAATTTTATCTTAAGAGCAATATTGAACGGTTTTTTTAATTCCATTCAAGTCTCATGTGATTTTTTTATTTTCTCACCTCTAACGATGCTAGCACCATCTGCCATACACTTTAGGAACTTATTACTACACTGCACTTCTAGTACATTAGTATTTTAGAGACAAAATTACCTTTTAAAGTGAAATAGAAAAACATCTTTATATCGTAATTATAGATAACATATTGGAAGTATAGAGATTTAATCATTCGTGTACAAAAGTGCGGAAGAAGGAATTGTGAGAGTTATATCTACTTTAGTAGCGGAGTGATGAGATGTTTAATATTTTTACTAAATATCGTATAAGTAGAAAGTTTTAAAAAGATTTTTAGTTGGTAAAGTTGTCGTTTTGTTATAATAAATTATTCAGTCTCATTCATAATTCTCTGTAAGTTGTCCCAGCCGAGGGGCGACACGGTCAGCTGTTGTGGACGCGCCCACATTTCATCTGTCATCTCACAACGAGACGGTGGCAGTTTGTACGAAATCGGGTCCCCATCGACACTTCTGAAAAAAAAATTCTAATTGGATCGAAGTATTCACCTTTCCTTTATAGTAATGTTAGGCACACAGAAAGAATACTTTAAGCGCGAGGGCATGCGCTTGTTTTGTTCAAGTACATAAATAACTCAGTATACATAATACCTACGCATAACAAAGATTTAAGATAGCGATAGACACTTACCACTTGGATATTGATTAGATAATATGTATAGGCTACCGTAAATATATGTAAGTATACCTACTGCTTAGGTAAACATAGGTACCTATTTATTACAAAAAAGTAACAAACCACTAAACCTGAAAACACAGTGATACACTCACTGTTATTTACGAGCTTTCCAGTTTATCCTCATAGCCGTAGCCGTAGCCTATAACGCGCGTTTAGGTGAATATATAGATGTATACATACCCTAAAAATACAACTGTCTGCTTGTAAGGGTCGTAAATTTGTCCGGGTCTTAATGGTGGGCGGAGAGGATAATCTCGGTCGGTTTTCACTAGACGACCGAAACGCTCCAAAGGACACTGCGCGCGACGCCCTATCATGGCTGGAAAAAAGAACTTTTTAAACTGTTGTACCTACTAAGCTTAATAAAAAGATTTCAATTGAAAAGATCTTACCTATTTTTTCTTTTTTAAAATAACTTGTAGTCGCTTTAGAATTTATATGGACTTTTAACTTTTTATTTTTTCACGATATCTAGTAAGTAGTTGCTCGGGTTTTAAGATGTTATTCTTGTTGAGGTCACCTTGCGAGGACTTCGAAAGGCGAATTTGTTTTTATGATGGTTATAAGCAAAATAAAAGCTTTAAAATAAGTTGGTAAAGTATTGACTCTTTGGTGTAGATAGGTACCTAAGTAGGTACCTACAATCCTGTCGTAGCTCTTATTTCAGTTTCGCCTACGTTTCGCTTTCATTAGTGGCTTTTAGCTTACTACCTATTTTTTGATTACTCAGCTAAAAGTTACACTAAGACTGCGTATGGTGAGTATATCCATAAACTAATCTCATTCTCTAAATTCTAAAAACAATTAGAATTAGACATTTTGGTTTTCGAGATACCTACATATTTGTTAGACTAGGTACTGATTATAACTATTACCATAGTATAAAGAAAGGTATTACTATTACTATTGTCCCTTCTAATGAAAACGTTATGTAGGTACCTGCCGATGTGGGTGGTAATGGGTGAGGAGACGGATCCACTGTAACAGGATACTGCTTCGGCTCGAGTTGACTGCTATGTGACTGCAGGGCCGCCCGATATTCTTCCACAGTCATGCCTAGTAAGTTTAAAAGAGTTTTGTTTTTAACTTAATTTTAAAGAATCCATACACTCCAAATACAACTATGGAGGTAGATGGTGTTACAGAGCACAGGTTATTATAGGTAGAAACATTTATTATCTATGTGTAGTATTTTTTTCATTGACGAACAATCATAAACGTGTGGGTCCCATTACCACTTTTTCTCAAATACAGGCATAGGTACCTAGATTTTATGTCGGAACCTAAAGTCCTAAAAGTGCCTAATTAACTCACCTACTTTCTGAGCTTCCTCTTCTTGTATTTCTCTAATTTTGCTATAAAAATACCAACGTTGCGGCCAGAGCTTCGCTGCAGACTTTGATTTTTTCATCACCGAGTTCCTGAAATAAGTACCTATTTAGTTAGGCATCCTAATTATTTTGATGACTGCTGCTTAGCCCGCACCATACCGCACCATAAAGTGCATAGGTATCTCGGTAGGTAGGTGTACTTATGAGCTTACTTGGATGGAAACTTCAGTAAAACTTAATGGAATTTAATATGATGGAAACGACTCTCCTTCAATATAGTTATAGAAAGTGTACCTAAAAGTAGGAATTAATGTAGATAAATACATTTTAAACAAACACTTACAATATTCCCTGAGCTTTAACGGGATCAGTAGAAGGCTCGCGGCGCCCGCCTATATTAACCGGCGCTGGTGCTGCAGCTTCCATTTTCAATTATTCAAGTAAATATATAAGTTTTTGCTGTGTGGAGTAACCTAACAGTTGCTGAACTAAACTGAATTCTACCAAGCATTCGAAACTACTAGATATTTTCGACCCTTCTTATTTCCTCATGCAGAATGTTGCTTGGGTGATGAATGAAATCGATCAAGCAATAAAAAGGAATTATTAATACTAATTTAACAATCAAAAGTCACGGTGAAGGAAGTTTATTCAATCCTTTGATGTCATGCAATCAGAAACATTAAGTTAGGTAACTGTTTGCTATTTAAGACTTTGACGTTTGTTTATAGTCGGTTAGCTAGCGAGTTTTAGTTTCTAGCTACCTATAGCATAATGTACCTACGTATTGTTTACATCGTTGGCAACCAGGAAAGTAGGTAGGTACACAAAACCAACTCAATATATTTAGTATACGAAAAATGCCTTTTCTTTTCTCTAATAAGTCATTTACGTAGGTAATTACGATTAGGAATGTAAGGAGTGGGCAATGAGCGTTCACTTATCGTTTATGTTTAAAACGTGAGACTATTTTAAAAGATCAGTTTAAATAATTTTAGAATTAGTACTAGAAAACTTGTCATAGGTTGTCAGGCTATTTATAACCTAGTTCTTTCAATTACGTAAGTATTTCGTAGAAATCAAATAAACAGAGGTAACAATTGTAGTGTTCTAAAAATGAAGTTTTCCTAAGTTTGATTTGTTGAGCTTTCGCTTTACTTGTAGAATATATTCCTTGAATTTTAGAGCAGTAATTACCTAGATTTCTCTTAAAATCTAGTCTAAGTACCTACCGTTAGTACAGTCGATAACCAAGGTTTCGATGGTACCTAACTAGGCTTTATGTATCACAATTTCTTAGAACGAACTTCCACGTATTTATTGGAATGAACTTATTTAATTTAATTGATACAAAATAGGTAATCCCATAAGACAAATTTCGTACGAGAATATTTATTTTAGTTCATTCTAAGAAAAGTTCAATAGTAGGTACCTACCTAAACTAACATCGAGCTCGTTACTTATCTCAGTCGTTCACTGTACATTTCCATTTCATATTCATTAAACTGTAAATAGGGATGACTTCGGTGCTTTATTTCGTAAGAGCAACGTCAATTACAAATTCAAAGTTTTGTTACCGACGTGTTCTGTGTTGTGTCAAGCGAAACGATGTCAGTTGGGACGTCTAGACCAGACAGCCTATAAACTTTCTCAAGCATATAACTTTTATTTACCTTCGGTATTTACGCGAATGGAAAAGCTAGCTTTATTCGAAAAGGTCAAAAGATGTGACCTACGGCGTCCTAAACTAAAACTTAGTAACCTGATTATTATGCTGGTTCGACTTTAATTTATACGTCCTTTCCTAAGGATAATTTATTAAAATTAGTCACCCAGTGTGTGGGTTCTATTTACTTTTGAGCAGTTTGTTTATGTACCTAAGTTACACTTACCAAACAACTTACAATTGTAATACACTGCAGGAAACTTTTAGAGCTAGGTAAATAATGTGATGGGTAAGCTAGGTAGTTAGTAGGTAGGCATAGGTTACGTGTAACCTTTCCTCATCAGGTGTTTAAAAATTAACTAACCTAATTACATGGTATCAAATGTAAATACATTTATTTATACTACTGTTATACCTGTTGTCGTCACGATAAAAAAATATGCGTCACGCACTCCGGTACGTGACGCATTATGTATCCACGTTATGGATTCGCAACTGTGTTTAAAATATTTAGTTCAGTGTGTTTGTAGACTGAAAAGGTCCGTGTAACGGTGTGCAAGTGTGCGTATACCTAGAATATCGTGATAGCCTAGACAGACAGACAAAGGGCGACGGAAGGGCAGACAGTTTGCACTCCCAACGACTTATACTTCAATCGCAGTGTTTTCTTCAAAAAAGTAAACAAAGTCTAAGGCATAGTGCGGTGCGCAGGGCTCTTTGCAATTCTTTTTTTACTTTTTAGAATGCTCCCAGTCGACGTGATGGTCGTAATTAATTAAGTAATATTTAGTTGTTTAATCAGAAACAATTCTGTTTTCGCGGCTAATAATGATATTATGTTTATGTAATACCATTTAATAAAACTTTACGTTTACTTATAATAGGTACTCAATCTTTTTAGCGGTTCATTAGAGGTCGTGCAGCAATTGTTAGCTCTAAGAATAATTTCCTTTTCTGAAAGTTTCCCAGGCTATAACAATGAGAAACTTCAGATAAATACCTATACAACCGTACAAAAGGTGCGTATACCTAGTTATCTCAGTTATGTAGTAAATGTCGTAGACTTGTTGCGTGTAGTAGTACTTCACAAAGTCTAGACGTTTGACACAATGGTCGTCTTATCGTCCGTTCTGAACAACTTACTATCAGTCACTCATACTACTTAATCTGTTCTTTCATAATGTTGAAATACATATCGCACAGACTACGTACCTACTATTTAAATTGAGGTCTCTTTTTATTTAATTAATATCCAAGTTTATTATTTACAGACTTTTCTTTACAGGCTTATCTTCAAAAGTGGTATGAATAAGGTAAGTATATAAAATTCCTATTTAGTTATAAAAATAATCACACCAAATCTAAGTAACCTACTTCGTGTAACAAACAATTCGGTTAAAAACCCTCAGGACCTATCAGACCTTACAATTTCCCAAAATAAATGGGTGGTAGATTACTATAATTTGGATTAATTTGGATACCTAGCTACAATTCTGAAAATAATATTTACATCAAATTTATTTCAAAATTTTCTCGATAAAGAAGCTCTATCAATGAATTGATATCAGATTTTCTAAAAACCTACTCCTACTAGTTAAAGACCTATACATTTTTCTTATAGCTATTAAATATTTTTTCAAAAGAAATTTCTTATTTGTAATCCGAAGAATTTTCCAATTTCGCTACCAGATGCTTAGATACCTATCTACAAGAAAATTAAAACGATATCGGGTCTAAAATTATAAACAGAACATTACATAGAAATGGTTTGAAAACAGATTTTGCGGGTTGACCTGAGCGACCTTCAATGAAAGTTAACACTATGTAAGTATAAGTACATAGATACTGTGTTAATATCTACTGAATCAAGCTCGTGTTAAACGAAGTCTAGACGCTATTAGTAACACATTTCGACCTATACGCACACTTTAGATATCTGCACGTATTTTTCAGTGAGCGAGCGTCTCGTTGTATGTGTTCGTGTAGGCAGACAATTTTACACGTAAATCTGGCTAGACAAAACATTTATTGACTGTATATAAATTACTTATTTATGAATCAGAATTAAAACTAAGGTTATCGAATCAATAAACCCCGTTCGTATCTATGGAATCGAAATGATTCAACTAAGGTGAACTTTATAATACTGGGAATTAGGTCTGATTGATGACTTTTAAATTTGGTTGTTTCAAGAAGTCACGGTTGAATCATTCAGAAGAAATAGTGAACTGCTAATATATATAAGAATTGTTTCGTTCAATACTTGTGAATAGGTCAGCTGATAAAAGCTAGACACATATACGACAGTTTTATTGCACTGATATTGAAGAAAGTCAATGGGACTGACCTATAGCAGTATTATACAGGCTTTATTTCAAAACTCAGTAAAATCGTAAACGGAAACTACCGTCTGTGCCGTCGCCGGGTCAGACTCCGGGCGAGTCAGACGATGTCTGTTCATTGTACTACTTATCTTCACCCACTGGATTTATTGTTATTGTGCTATCATTACGCATATTTATTTTCTCTGTATATATATTTATTTCGAGGTAAATAAATTCTTTCTAATAAATCGAAAAACCACCTAAAGTTTGTTACGTATTTCCAAGAAATTGATATATTTAGATAATCTTGCTTGACAAATTGAAAATCTTACGCTTGTTACTGTGGTAAAAATGTAGGTTTGTGTGTGTGACCTAATTCCGCATACAGCGACACTGAAGGGTCGTGAAAGGAAAGGGCCTGAGTCGTACCTATCTAACCTCTGCGCACGTCCGCCCCCGCGTCTAGACGCCGGCTCAATACAAACATAAACTGTATAGTAAGTGCACGCAATTCACTGATACCTTTGAATATTAATATATAGCAAATCATTCACAATTCATGCTCTTTCATTACACCAATTTCTGATTAGAATGAAGTTTTTTCAGGTACGAGTCCTGTGTTATTGTTGGACCTCAATTAGTTTATTAACATAAGTATTTGAAATTAAGTTTGCATTGATATCAGTGTTCAAGTTGATAATATTGCCATTATTTTATTCTCGCTTTTCCGACTAACTAGTCGGTATTACTCTAAGTGCGTCTGATACATTCAATCTCGTTAATTCGACTAGCTTACAAACATTTGCGCTATGTTTCGACTTTCGATGTCTACGCTGAATTATAAAATCCAGTCACTTTTCGACACTTAGACATGATACAGTTATCTTGTCTGTCTGGAGATTACTTATTCCAGTTGGATTACTGTTAATAGTAGTACTTAATCGTATGTAATCTACCTCTATTTATAATAATGCAGTAAAGTGTAGTATATACCTTTACTTTTATTAATTTGGGGTATATATAAACATATTGATATATATAAATAAATAAAATAAATAAATAAATAAAATAAATGTATTATATGCATATAAAATAATTTATAGGTATTTCTAATAAAAAATTCAAAAAATCTTCGATGTTTTACTTTATATAGTCCACTTACTTTTACATTTTGCTAAGAAAGCGAAATTGAACATCTTCTTACTTTGGTTTGGAAATAGAACCTAGTGCAAGTGCAACTTGTCACACTTGTAGTCAGTTGAATAATAAGGAAATTGAAAAGCTAATTTTAGGTACTTATTTCTACAGATTTAAATTCAAAACTTTACAAGTGCTTTTCTTTGCGTGTTAAACTGCTAAGTACTTTTCCTGTTTCAAACACGGAGACGTACAAACGATATAAACAGCAAGTACAGGGATCTACTAGCAGCTTGTAT